AAATTTTAATGATTTGTATCTCATAGTTAATGATTTGTATCTCTAGTTTATTGATTTATGATTGGATACAAGAATTTATCATTAACATAATGATTTACCAAACAACTTGGTAGCTAAACTACTCTTGAGGCCCTTTTTTTTAAAACTATGGCAGTGAATAAAATGCTAATCAAGCAACGTAACCAGCTAATAATATATTTAAATTTTCAGGACATTTCTAAGACAGGTCAAACAAATTTTTGAGATGTTTAAATTTATTGGCTTATTTTTTTTTTAGCAATTAAATGAATAAAAAAAAAACTGTTCAAGCAAGTAATCATACAAATGTTGAAAAAATTTTAAGCTGATTAATTATTGATTTGCAATATGTTGCATTAAAAAAAAAGTTATAGCTTTTAATTTAAATATCCACCAGCTGTATTTTTTTGTGTAAATCCAAGTTAAATTCTGAAACCTATATCGTTTTTTAATTTGAAAAATTTGGAATATTTCTTTGATCAAAGTACATGAAGCCATGCTTTTTTATATATGTAACCTAAGTTAATAATTAAACTTTATGTATGTATAGACTAAACAAACAATTGAGAGTTGAGAGCATTTTTAAATCTTTTATGGATTTGATACGCAGAATGAAGTTCTTTTGTATCAGACATGAAAACGAGAATGTTAGATAATAGGAATAGAGTTGTAATATCTGCGACCGTTGGTCAATTTATGATAAGTTCAAATTTATCATTTTGCTTTGTTTGAAAAGGGTTTGAAAATTTAATTTGTTGCTTTATATTGGGTAATAATAAAAAGTAAACTATTTTTCATAGAAATAATTTACTTTTCATTATTACCCTTTTTTTTTTTTTAAATACAGCAATAGTTTGACCAAATAAAAGATCTAACAAAATATAACAAAACTGCATACTTATCTCAAAATGATCAATTTTGCACTTATCATTAATTGACCAATGGTCAAAGTCATTTCAAGAATATTCAAAACAGTTTAGGCGTTTGTAAAGTTATTATGAAAACTTAGACAGATGTCCAGAGGAAGTTATTAAAATCGAACTAACTTCTTTTTTCTAAGTAACTTTATTTTTTTCGAAAAATTACATAAAGGACTTTCTTAATATAAATAAGGACTTTCTTAATATAAATAAACTACTTTCTTAATTCATTTAAATTTTATATTTTTTTATTCATTTATTTTATATTTCTTAATTCATTTAAATTTTATTTTCTTCTTTTTACGTTTAAGGACCTTTAAAGAAAATGCGTTCACACAAACATACAAACAAAGTAGAGGAAAGGCTCAATCTAGATTAAAAAAAATAATGAATCAACAATCGCGCATTTTATTAAGTCTTTTTCGGGAGGTTTACATGTTTAAAAACAAAAAAAGATTGTTTAAAATATAAAACTCCGTTAAAATATTCTTTAAAATGCATATTATAATTTTGGAAAATTTCGAAGAAAAATTTTTTTCTTCTGAATATATAAAATTGAAATAAAAATTAGGATCCACTTTTTAAATAATATGCAATATACAATATAAACAGAGAGGTACTCAAAGAAGGCATGGATGATAAAACCTCAACCTTTTCGTAGACACTTATAAAATGTGTTTCCGTAATAAACTAAAGTTTTTAATAAGAAATTATTACTGCGAAATAAAAGCAAACAAACAAAACAAATAAAGAGAAAAAAGAGAAAAAAAAATAAGGCCGGGAATGATTGCTAAATGATGTATATCAGGAATTGAGAGACGCTCAATTCTTAAATTTTGTATGCCGTTTAAACGAGAACGTGTTATTTAAGTCTGTTACACTAGTGTTTTTCATTTGTTTCTATAATAATGGGCCTAGAATTATTACAGAAAAATTAAACATTTTTCGAATTTTTCGAATCTGAATAATAGTCTTGGTATTTGACCGAAGATTTCGAGAAAATTTAAACAAAAAAATATCGGAAAAAACGTTTGTTAGTAAGTGCTTTACATGCACGGTTTTGTAAGCTTTGTAATTTATTTAATTTTGTTTTGTGAGTGCTTGTCCATACAATATTAGCGTATGAAAGATGACTATGATTTAATATCGAGAAAAAGATCTTGAAATATATAGCACACCAAAATTCAGAGAATATTTTTGTTTCTATTGGACCTATATATTTTTTCTATGATAAATACTAATCAATTAAAATTTTTGATTTTCTCTAAGTATTTCTTTTAATTGATAAACAATTTTGGTAGCTTTAATGGAAAGTTAATGGCTAGTCTTGTTTTATAAAACAGATTAAAGATCGTTTTTCACAACTTAAAGATTATTAACCCTAAACCAGAGGTTATAACTTTCTAATTCAATGTTTATGATTTCGAACAGTACCTTTGTATCAGAGTGATTGAAGAACAGGTTAGTATTGTCAGCATACATTGTAGATGATATTTTAAAAAAAGCTTTATGCATATCATTGATGTATATTAAAAATAACAATGGTCCTAGGATTAATCCCTGTGGGACACCACACATTATATCAAGAGTTCCTGACTTTTGCTCCGTAACATATTGTTTTTTGTTACAAAGATAGTTTTCGATCCACTTATAAGTCAGACCAAAAATCTAGTAAAAGGTTAGTTTCGCAAGCAAAAATTATATGATTTGTTAGTTTCATTCAAAACTTCTATGCATAAGGTTTCAATATGTTTGTTTTGCTATATGCTTTTTTTTTTTTTTAATTCAAATTTTCCACAAATATAGATAGCAACTCCGCCTCCGATGCCGCTCACTCGTGGTTGGCTAATCAATTTATAAAGTGATAAATTATAAAGAGAATTATCTAACAAAATCATATTCGCTTCCTCCCAAGTTTCTGAAATACAAATTACATCAAACTGATAATTTAAAGAGTAATAAAAATTTTTAAACGATTCAAATTTTTTAATCATAGAGCTCATGTTTACACTTAAAATGCTGAAATTTTCTTCGACTTTATCTTTAGTAAATTTATCAGGTTTATAGTATTCATTGCTTAAGCATTTAGCATTTAAATTGTTTATAAAATTGTATTCATGAGATTTTAATTTTTCTAAAATAGGAGATTTAAAGTTTTCAAAGTTTTTGTTAAAACTATCGATTTTAGTCATATTGCTTTTTGTTAATAACCCTTTCAAATATTTTTAAAAATTTTTGTAAATAACCCTTTCAAATATTTTTAAAATTTTTTGTAAATAACCCTTTCAAATATTTTTAAAAATTTTTGTAAATAACCCTTTCAAATATTTTTAAAAATACAGGAAAAAGAGAAATTCGATGATAGTTAGAGACAACGAATGTAACACTTTTTTTCAAGATCGGGTGCATCATAGCTAATTTTAATTTTTCAGCAAAAGTACTATTATTAAAAGAAGATGCTATTAAGTAGAATAACAGTTTTCTAATATTCTAATATTCTTAATACTGTTTTTATGGAATAAAGTTTATTTTATTTTATTCATTTTGAAAGAATTTATTTGCTTTAAATCGCTTCTAGACTTTCTTTAATTCAAAACTCATGTAAGATTATAGTTGCTTAATGTCAATGTTTGAAAGAAAAATATTTTTATTGTCGGCAAACATTAAAAATGGTTGCAACACTCTTTAACAAATATAGTTTTTTAAGGATTTTATTTTTACTTTTAAACGTTTATTGTTTAGCTTAAAGTTTGTCTTTTAATTGTTATCGAGTTTTTTTCAAATCATCTTTATTAGATTCTTCTTGATGTCATCTTTCTGTATTTTTTTAAGAGGTCAGTATATAAATATTTATTAGTTTTTACTACCAACAAATAAAATAAGTGCGTAATGTGTAGTTCAAAATTGCTCAATGTGTAATCCCAGAATTTAGATTATTGAGGCCTTAAAACTATTACTAAAAAGGATAAATAAACGATATAATTAAATCTATAAAAAAAAGTTTAAAACGCAATTTAGAGTGATTGTTTTTTTTTTGTTTCCAGGCTCCAAAAGCGAGCAAGTCAATAACCGTAACTTTATAGGAGAAACGAAATGTATATATATATATATATATATATATATATATATATATATATATATATATATATATATATATATATATATATATATATATATATATATATATATATATATATATATATATATAAATATACGTATTGTTCTGATACATGTGCTTTTGTACAGTTATATATTGATTAAAAACAGTCAAGTTGAGATTATAAAAAAACTTTTGTTCTTTAGTCGGCCGACCAGAGATATATCAGTATAAAGATTGCAATTTTATTGCGTTGACAATTAAATGACAGTTAAAACCTTTATATCTACGTCATTGCATTTTTGCGTTAATTAAAATTTTAACATTAAGGTAATTTGGCGAACTTTGGGCAGCATCAGGTTTTATGCAAACAGCCTTTAACACAAAACTCTATATCTTCTTTAATTTTATCAAGCATTTTATGTTTCAACTAATACAATTTTTTTGCATCCAGCTCCGACAACTTCCGAACTTGTAGTCTATATAACTATAATCAAAAAGCTGTTTTAAGTTATATATATATATATATATATATATATATATATATATATATATATATATATATATATATATATATATATATATATATATATATATATATATATATATATATATATATATATATATATGATATATATATATATATATATATATATATATATATATATATATATATATATATATATATATACATATATATATATATATGACTTAAAACAGCTTTCCTCATAAATGAAAAAACTCAACTGTTTTTAGGCCTAACTTTTTTTCTAGAAACCGTTTGGTTAAATTTTATAGTGTTTGCGGCAAATGTTCACCGATATGCCCAAAGTTTGCCAACTTACCTTATACCTTATTTTGTAGTATTATTATAACAGCTTTGTTACCAATTGGATAAAAAATGTAACATTTGAATGCAGAAAAAATAAATTGAGATTCCAAACAACAATTTTAGCATAACTTACCAAAATAATTTTCTAACTTTGTTATTTGCTCTGAATGTAAAGAGTACTATTTTTTTTTGTTTGTTCATAAAAAGTATTAACGTTTAATGTTTTGAGTTTTTTATATAGATTTAAGTTGAGATAAGTGAATTTTGTATAATTATACTTGTTTTTCTTTCTTTCTGACTTGATTATCAATACAAGTGAAATCAATCATTTTCACAGCGTTTATTTTTCATGAAATTAATATTGACACAAGACGCTGTGTAAGAAAGTTCAACAAATTCCTAAAATGAGAACATGCCACGTGTCACGTGTCATGAGAACACGTATAAAATGCTGTTTACCCGATTAATGTTCAATAGTTAAAAAAATCTTTTTTAAATGATTTCTTTGAGTGAGTTATAGTTTGTACATAAAAATCCCATAAACGCAAACACAAAAGCAAATAGGGATTTGCAGAAAGTTCGTTTTTTGTTAATATTTTTGTTTAGTTTTACTCCTCATTATGGTGTGAGGTAAACTAATTACTATTAGCAAGATTGTAGACAAAATATCAAAATAGTAATAATAATAATAAATTGTTTTTTAGATAAAAAGTAGTGTGAGCAGGGCTGTGCACACACAGACTGCATAGCCTTGAGTGTGAATTTTTAGTATTCAAGCAGTGATGGAAAGTAACAAATTACATTTACTTGCGCCACTGTAATTGCGAAATTTTTTAGTGTACTTCGATTTTTTGATGAATTTTTCTTTTAAAGCAAAGAAAAATAATTGCGCCCATGAAACTTTTTTATTATCCGCCTAATTTAGAAAACGGTTTAAGCAGACCTGCTTAAACCTTTATAAAAACTTTATACTTGCCTGCAGGCAAGTATAAAGTCTTCTAAATTTGAAAACCAACTGCTCCTCAAACTTTTCCTCCTATTCTATTAAAAGATTGTTTAAGTAACTTTTACTCTGAGTACATTTTTAATAGCTACATTTTGCTTTTTTTTGAGTAAATTTTTATATAAGTAACTTTACTTGTACTTGAGTAGAATTTCACTTTTTTTTTTAATGTTGTTGTACATAATATATGAAAACACGGATACTCGAAAAGTATCGTAAGATCCTGTCACCGAGAACCGTTTAACAATACAATAATAATAAACCAATTATTTCAAAAAAAAAAAAAAAATTAAAAGGAAATACCGTTTAAGAAAACCTACATAAAAGTAAGACAAGGTATCTCAAGGTATCTCCTACATGCAAGTAAGAAAAGGTATCTAAAACACCGTTTAAAAAAACAATAAAAAATAAAATAAAATTTTTAATATTACATTTAGATAGAGGGTCGTAATAGCGAATAATGTTGATAAATAAAATTGTCATTTCTTAGGTCATATTTGTTTTTGGGCTTTATTGCATAAAAATTTTGAAAAGATATAGGAGTTAAGTTTATCTTACATTTAAATATAAAGCAAAGAATGTTAAAAACATTTAGTTGGTGTATATTACAAATACTCATTTTGAATAAAAGTGGTTTTGCATGAGTAAAATGATCTTTAGGGATTATTAATCGGGCAAAATCTGTTGCCGATAAAGAGGATCTAATTATCTTTTTTTTTTTGCACTGCCCCACGCAATACTTAAACAATTTAAATGACATTGAATAAGTGAGTAATAAAGTTGAATTAATGCGTGTCTATTTACAAAACTTTTCTCTTTATATAATATTCCAATACTTTTTAAAGCTTTAATGCGCAAGGTTTCAATATGATTTTTCACCAGTTATACAAAATTGATCATATTAATTGCTTATCAATTAGTTTAACTATTCATTCACAAACTCTCAAAAGCAGTTTTTATAAATCTTATTATAAAATAAAAATTTATAGTAAAAATTAAACCATTGGTGTTCGGAATTACCCTTCGTACGTGGGGTAGTTTCGAACACATGGGGAGGAGGGTAATCGCAAACACTGTTGTGTAATAACGAATAAAATGCTTATTGTAATAACTAAGTCTAAAAATTATATTATGCAACAACAACAAAAAAAAGGAGTGGCTTTATTTCCATAGAAGCTACAACAGAATGTTACTCAAGAAAAAAGTAGCTTAAAATTATCAGAAAAAGTTAAAATCAAATAATAGTAAACAACCGCAGCCGCTACATTACACTACTGCACGTCTGGATCCCTTCTCAGCAGGTAAAAAGAAACTGTCAAATTTATTTTTCTACAATGCTGTTTTGACCATGTTTGGAGTTACCCCGCGTTCGCCATTACTCCACTCTCCCCTATCTATACATGTTTGAGGCATATCATTTGGCAAAAGATATTATTTGGATTTTGGATGAAATAGAGTCCATTTAGTTTTTTCTATGTTAATTGATAACTTATTTGACTTAAACCATTTTGAAATTTTAATAAGCTTTATGTTCATGTCTTTTTTTTGGCGCTTAGTTTTCATGTCAATAAGACGTGTTTTTGTTCGAGCGTAAGTTTTCTGAGGTTTTTATTTTTCTTGTATTCTTTTTATTTCTTTTTCCCCTTCTTTTATATTTCTAATAATTTTTACTTTCTCTGCTATTGCTTCATCTTATTAGCTTATTAATTATTTTTCTACTTTTAAAAATTATAATATTATTTAACTATATTTGATGTGCCTGAAGCATAGTTTTTGTTGTAATTACATACCATATCTTCAATATATCTATACTTTTGTTTTGTTATATATACCTTTATCTGTATATTATTATTATAAAATAGTTATAACCAAAATTTTATTTACGCGTCAGTTCCCTCACATTCTTTCAGAAAACTAAAAGTCGTTTTGTCTTTTATCATTTTTGTTATCATTTTTTTTTTTTTTTTTTTTTTTTTTTTAGTCACTTACTTCTCTCTTTTTTTTTTTTCATCTCATTTTTTTGTATATTTTTTTTTTTGTGCTTCTGACAAAACCCAAAACTTACTTAATAATTAATAAATATATTTACGGAAAAATTATAATCATTAAAAAATATAATATAAAATAAAATAATATAACAATATAAAATTAAAAAAAACAACAAATTTACTAAACTTATATTCGTAAAAAAATATGTATATATTAATATATATCTACATACTTATAATTAAAAATATTAACAATATTAATATATATCTATATACATATAATTTAAATATATATTTATGTAAATATATATTAAGGTCAGGTCAGGTTTTCCTGCTATTGGTAACATGTAACCCAGTACAACCTGCTCCATGTCCTGCTGCCTTGTAGGATACGCTTTTTTAGGCAAAGGCTAGGAGAAGTTAACTCCGAATTAAAACACCCCCTGCCTTGGGGCTCTTGGTTGAGTAAAGGCTAGAGATGGTGTCTCGATAAAAATACTCATCTTGGGCAGATGTTACATGCATCCAGCTGCTGTCTTGTAGAAGGCCTCCTAGGCAAAGACTTAAGGGGTAAACAGATTCTATCTGTTGACCAGCCTCGCACCCCTTCCTCATCTATTAGGCTGGCGCAGATGTATTTTTAATACATTGTTTCCAGTTTAGGATGTTGAACGCTGGATCTTCTTGACTCAATGCGTGGGTATTGCTTGTGTCTCTATTTTTATGACTGGGCAACTCATTCTATTATCTCCTAATGAGGGTACAGCTCTAAAACTCAGTTTTATGGTTCTGAGGCCGGCTGGTAGTCAGGTTTCCCGAACTCTGTGGTAGCTCTCAGAGAGGCTGATTCCATCAACAGCTGAAAAATATCAGAGTACTAACAGTGCCATGTTGCGCATGGATGGTGTCCCTGTTTGTACTTTTGGTGTGCATTGCAGAGGCCACATTTGGAGCCCTTTGTTACGGCTTAGGGTTTATTAATAGTAATGAGGCTATTGCTTAGTTGTTAAATAGTGTACTGAGTACTATCTATACTTGAGTCAAGTTCTTTATAAATTTAAAATGACTAAAGTACCTAAAACTAAAAAACACAAAAAACCATCGTCATCACCAAGTTCTCTAAACCTATCATTTACTAATATTCGTGGTCTTCGAAGTAACTTTTCTTCTGTTGAGTCTTATCTCTTGCAAAGTTCACCAGACCTACTTGCTCTTTGTGAGACTAATTTGAGTTCGGCTGTCCCATCTTGTGATCTTAGTGTTGATGGTTATCTTCCTTTAATTCGTAAAGACTCCAATAATCACATGCTTGGCCTGGGCATCTACATTCGTAAGAACTCACCCATTTGTCGTGAAACTAGGTATGAATCTACAGACTATTCATTTATGTGTTTTCGTTTAGCACAACTTCACTCTATCGCCTTTCTCTTTGTTCTATATCGCTCTCCTTCATCCCAAGATTGCACTATTCTTGATGTTATTTCTGATCAAATTGACCAAGCCCTCTCTCTTTATCCATCGGCCAATATCGTCGTTGTTGGTGACTTTAATGCCCATCACACCGATTGGCTTGGCTCTAGTGTCAGTGACTCTGCTGGCGTTAAGGCCCTCAACTTTTGCCTTTCTCAATCTCTAACTCAAATAGTCAACTTTCCAACTCGTTTTCCAGACAACCCTAATCATTTACCTTCTCTACTCGACTTATGTCTTGTTTTGGATCCTAGTCAGTGCTCAATTTCTCCACGTTCACCCTTAGGTACTTCTGATCACGGTTTGATCTCTCTAAAACTATTATCAAATTCTTCTACTTCATCAGAATCCCCCTATCATCGTACCACATACAACTACCTTAAAGCTGACTGGGACTCTTTCCGTGATTTTCTTCGTGATGGCCCTTGGGTAGAAATCTTTCGTCTTCCTGCTGACAAATGTGCTTCTTACATAACTTCGTGGATTCAGGCTGGCATGGAATCTTTTATTCCCTCTCGACGATTCCAGGTCAAGCCTCACTCTTCTCCTTGGTTTTCCTCACATTGCGCTGCAGCAATTTCTAATCGAAACCGTTACTTCCATATCTATCAGCAAAACAATTCTCCAGAAAACAGACATCTGTTCACTATCGCCAGAAACCATTGTAAAAAGGTTTTGTCTGACGCCAAAGCTTGCTATTCCCAGGTCATTAAATCTCGTATCTCATCACAAAAATTAGGCTCTCGAGACTTCTGGAGAATCTTTAACAGTATCAATAATAAGGGCAAATCTGTTATTCCTTCTCTCTTGTATGGTTCAGACTTTGTCACCTCACCTAAAGACA